TGAGCCAAATAGGACTGTATACCATTATCTAAACATAACTCATTCTTTCCTGCTTTCATACCTGTGATGTCTCCCTCAAATTACACCTATTAAAATCTTATACATTCCTTCAGACCCAATTTAAAAGTTATTGCTTCCAGTAAACAATACCTGGTACTATTGCCAAAGAGTAATCTTTTCTCTTTTGAATTTGCTCTGTCCCTTATTTCTACCCCATAACAATTGCCTGTCCTAAGTAATATTAGTCATTTTGAATATATACTATGAAGATGAAATAATTATCTTATACAGTGTCTTGCAAGTTGCAGGTACAATATACAGTAGTAGAAATTTTTAAATAAATGAACAAACTTTGAATTTTTTGCTTTCACTCAAGATTAATTATAGTCATTAATAATCAATGGCGGGGCCTCCCCAGTGGCGCAGCGGTTGAGTGCTGGGTTGCGAAGCTGCCCGCAGCCTCTGCAGCTCCGGTTCGATCCCGGGCCGCCGGGCAAGGGTCCCACATGGTGCGCAGACCTCTCCTGCCGCCCGCTGCTCCCCTCAGCAGTGTACTTCGGTCCTTCTGCCTGCTCTGCTCCCTGCTCTGGCTCTGGTGAATTCTCTCATACTCCCGCGCTTCTGACTGTACCCAGTGCTTGTATAAATAAATAAATAAATAAATCTTTATAAATAAATAAATAAATAATCAATGGCGGTTGGTTGGAAGCAACAAAGTACTGCACTACACCTCTATAAACTACTGATATTGAACCTTTTCTGACACAGTAACATGAAGAAAGTATTCTGAATATTAACGCTCAGGAAATATTTGTTTTTGTGGGTTTTCCAAGTAAGTTCTTATGATGTATATTAATAGTAATAATAAATGCACACATTTATTAGAGAATTCCCATATACTGTATAAACCATTATTATTATTATACATTATTATACTGTATAAACCATTATTCCAATAAGAAATAAATTGTAGAGTAGTAGGGATATTCTCCAATTCTCAGGACTAGAAAGATACTTCTCCAAAAGGTAAAAAATTTAAAGCTGAACCTCTACTATGCAAATCAAATTATTGCTATACCTTTTCAAATATTTAAAATTTAATATTCTTATCCAATTTTATCACTAGAATTTAGAAAGGAAAAATGTATAATAGAAATCTTTAATATGAAAAAGTCTGCATTGTGACTTAAAATATTTTACTATATGTATAATAAATAGTGTAATATTTCCTCTTTCAGTTTAATTTTGTATAACAGTTTTTTTTCCAGCATTTAGTCTTCCAAGGTGTTTGTCTTGCTTTTGAACTTTGTTTTGCACAGTGGTATTATCTGATTTGTCTCAATCTAATCTCTTAATTTATCTGTAACACTTTTATGTTATTTCAGTAATACAAAAGCATTCAGGCCTTCATAGAAATAATTTTAATATAGCTATGTTTATAAAGAAGGACTTCTTTATACATTTATATCAAATAAATGACAAAAGTGTGAACTTTATAAATACTGGTGGTGACTTTGTTATCAAACCAACTTTATTTTTAAGTATTGTTATTGGAGACTACTAATGCTTGTATTTTAAAATATAGAGACTTAATGAACTCAGTGATTCAGAGAGCATGTGGCAAATTGTCAAAACCTTTGCATCTGCTTTCATATGACAATTCATTTTTGATGTATGAGTATAAACATAATGTTAATCCAATAGTGGAAAAAGTAATTTAAAATGAATTTCATAACTTATGTGTCAGACCTGAATTTAAATATATCATTAAGATACTAGTTTTTCTTCTTTAATGTTGTAGATAAACAATATAAAATAGAAATAGTATACTAACATTATTGCTACATGTTCTTACAGATGAAAATGATAATATTGAGATAGATACTAACGAGGAGATTCCTGAAGGCTTTGTTGTAGAAGGTGGAGATGAACTTACTAACTTAGAAAATGACCTTGATATTCCCGGTAATTTTAAATTATAAATATTTTGTGTCCTGCTGCATGGCAATTTTGTGTTTTTATTTTTATTATTATCTCACCAATAATGATAATAAGTTAGTTTTAACTTTCATGTAGTTTTATCATCTTACACCCTCACAAATCATTTAGCTAAATTCACTTTCATCAATTTTATTTTATTTTGTTGTAAATTTAATGTTAACACTAGCATTAAAATTGGAATAACAAATTATAGTTGTGTTCCTTTATTACTAATATCTTTCTCTATTTTATGTTATATGAGACAACTTAGGCATTCAATAAGTGGTTTTCTTCTCAGCCTAAATATTTCAGTGTGCTGTAGTAAAGTATAGATATAGTACCCTTGGAATACTAATCTAAACTGTGGATCCGATTTTCTGGCTTACTTTAGGATTGATAGTCATAGTTGTAACATTATTTAGCAGATTATTTCCTTCAAATGTTTAAATATTACTTCTAATAAGTCATTTTGCACATGCTTAATAACTGATTACAATAAGGTGCTTTGAAAGTCACCTGTTTGGGCTGCTATTAAATTAATCTCACATATCAATAACTGTAACAATAGTAACGTTGACAATTGACCCTCTAAGTTATTGTTTAAAAATAAAGATACTTGCTGGTGGTTTTTAATAGTTGAATGTTCCTTATGCATTGCCTTTATAAGGAAGCAGCAGGTATCAATCCAAAGCTTTGTATACCTGAGGGTTTCATAAATTCTGATTGAATTGAATTCTTACAGCAATAAAATGTCTTTGGGGATTCTCTGGACTTAAGAAGGTGAAGTCCCTAATATTTATTTTTTCTGTAAAAAGCTAAAAAGGAATGAGAGCAGGCATTCTTCTTCCCAGCCCTGGCATGCCCCTGCAATGCTAGTCTGTTTTGTTTCTTCCCATGTTTGAAATCAAGCTGTTATTTCCCCAAGAAACAATCAACAGGGTCTTCCTAACTACAGGGAGTATCCAAGAAAATCCATGACCTTTTCTTAGTAGCTCCTTCATGGTCTAGTATTAAGTTATATTTTTATTAGGTCATGGTCTAGTATTAAATTGTACTTTTACTAAATAGAATATATAGTTGTACAAGCCCAAGAGAATATGGATATTTATGGAAAATGTTAAATATTTAACACAATACTGAACGACCTTTAACTTGCTTCTATTTAAAATATTGTAGAACTTGGGTAAGTTTGATCTTTCTTTTTGAAAATATTTATTATTGGTTGCCCCCCCTCTCACCACAGTTACCACAGGCTTCACAGAAACCAATAATATGCCTTTATGCTAAGGACTTCCATAAGTACTGAGGCCTTAACATTCAATTTGTGGAAGTATAAAATCAGTGACAATCAGTAATACATACTTCTTGATTTTACAATAGATTATGAAGACAGGAAAATTTAGCCATTCTCAGGTAAGGTGAGGAAAATTTTGTAGTTCCACTTACAAAAACTTTGTACGATGTATTAAAAGTTTATTAATAGCCAACCCTACAGCCCCGATTCTTGCCCTTTTAAAAAAAAGTCTCTGTTACTTTATGTATGCCAAAACAGAAAACACATCTCAGGCTTCCTGTTTTTGGAGTCAGCTAATAATATTGTTTACAACTCTCAACTATGCCAATGAGTGTTGGCATGTGCATAGGACAGACTTTCCAATTTCAGACCTTGATTTATTTTATGGCCATAAGAAATAGAAATGAATGCAAACTGAAATCTAGAAGCACATAGCATTTATTAGGATTTTTATCCCTGCTTTATTTTCCCCAAAATTCTTTTTCTCATATGTATATAAAAGTCATAATGTTTTAATAATAATATGTTTAATCTTTATCTTGATTTGACCATAGTTCATCAGATATTGTTTAAAAAAAGAAGCCTGGCAATATAAACTGACCAATTTGCATGAAAGTAATAATAGCATTTATTAAGAATCTTATAATTAGAAAACTTATTAATTTTAATGAAAAATATCACACACCAAATGGGTGGTGTATCTTTTAGAACCATTTTATTAATGAATTGCTTTGTTTTAGTAGCTTTACTTGTTTCTATTTGTTTCTGAACTATTTTGTTATTGATGATTAATGTATTTCCTAAGAATGATTTGGAATTGTTTCATTTAAAAATTATAGATATATTTTATTTATTTAAAATTTCTGTCCATATTTAATGCATTCCAAAAATGAGATCATCTTTATTGTATTTCTGCCATCTAAATAGAAAGTACTTATAACATATGCCTGTTACAACACTGATTATGTATGCACATACATAAGCATTTGATTCTACAATATATATGTTATTGTTAAGATCACCTTAAAAACTTGTTTTAATGTGGCATCATGGATAAATTTAATGTACTGGAAGAACTGAAACTAAAGTAATATAATTTAGAATCAAATGTATCATCTCTCAGATACCTTGTTTGAGATAGTCTTGGTTTTTTGGTATAAATATATACCTCAAAGACAGGTTTAGGTTTTCAGGTAAACATAGCAATTATAAACTATAGTATATAGTCAAAGTCTTTAAGTATGTTGATTATATTCTTTTAGGGGACTGATTTGGGGAAAAAATATGTGTATTATAGGTATGTGTATGTATATGTGCTAAGAGACTAAACCTTAATTTTTCCCATCACAAAAAAAGAAATGGTAAATTACATTATATGATAAAGGAGTTAGCTAAAGCTTCATGGTGATTGTGATACAACATACATGTATCAAGTCAACTCATAAACTTATAACATGTGATATATCAATTATACCTGAACAAAATAAATTTTTAAAAGAATATAGTCAATATACCTAAAGAATGGTCAGTTATACTGTAGTTATATAGCATAAAGTATAGTTCATATATGTGTATATAGAGTTGTGTCTGATCTTATTTCACGACCCTAATGTCCTTTTCTTTTTTCTTTAAAAAAATTTAGTAGTATTTTTATAATAGCCCCTAAATAGTTAGCTTACATGTCTAAATGCATCTTAGTTATTCATAATGTATTTATATCTAACAGAACAAAACACTAAGGTGGTAGACTTGAAGCTGAAGAAACTCCTAGAAGCTCAGCCACAGGTGGCAAATACACCTTCCATTGCTGCTCAGAAAGCTGTAGCTGAGAGCTCAGAAGAAGACTTTAAGGTAAATCTTAGTTGTTTAAAATATTTGACTCAGTATCTGTGTATTCTCATTTCTACTGGCACTTTATAATCCCAGAAAATTATTTCTTACCGTGTTCTTTATGTTAAGATTAAGTTATAAAATGGTTGTCAAAAAGCCAGTAAATGTAAATATGGTAACCAGTATGTACTTTTTTCAGAGAAACTATTTTAAAATGATATGTTGTTTAAAGTAGAAAATATTCCTGACTTTTATGTGTATCTATATTTTGCTAAGAAGAATATAATTAAGAGAATTCTAGCATATTTTTCTATAATCCTCTACCTTCAGCCTGTATAGATGAACTAGAATTAATGATAATTAATACCTGAGGATGGTATCTAATTGAATATTAAATTTCAGGATACTTGCATGTGTTTTGTGCCACTATGAATCTAAACTTATATAAGATTTTTGCCAAAATCCAACATTATAAGATGATGATGTTGATTTAGACTTATTTGTACTCTCCCCATTCAAGCCTTCCCACTTTTTCCTCGCAGTATATCATTAATATTTCTCTAGCTTTAGGGCACTTCTGGTCCTGTATAACTTTTCACCCACCTGCGGACTATGGGGACTGCCTTGCTGACTGAAAGGATTTCCTTCCTCTGACACAGAGATGCTTTGAAGTCCCAAAACAATGACTTTCATTGCTTTTCCCTTACATTGTCGGTTTCTATAAATTGGTGATGAAAGTGTGTGGCAGCACCAGAGGACTTTTGGTCTCTATCTTTGAACAAAAGGAAGCCTGGATCAGGTCTGATTTTTTGCGTTCAATTTAGCTTTCTGCAGTGGATTTAATGCAGAATGAAGCTGGCCTAAGAATAATACAATGGATTGAAAAGGCTAACTGAATTAGTGGGTTTAGAGGAATACATTTGTAAAGTGGCAGAAGTCCCTAGTCATAAAAAGGTTTCTTAAGATGGGATTTGCTGGTTAATCGCACTGATATTTTAGCATGTTGCCAGGACTCAAAAAATTTAGCCATGTTTGTTTATTTTGGTAAAGACTTGAGTTTTAGACTATTGGGAAGTTATGATGATAACAATATAATATACTTTTCTAAAAAAACAAGCAAGTCAAAATTATTTCTATGTTATCTCTATACCTAGCATATTATATGCATGATAGTACTTACTAATAATTATATTAGATGACTTAAAATAGTTATTTGCACTCTAACAGTGTAATTTTCTGAATAGATGAAATGGTTTTGCTTTCCAAAAAGCTTATGTAGTAATTTTTAAAGTTATTCCAACAAAAGGCATGCATTAAACAGCTTGTCTTTGTATGACTCTTTTTAGTTAAGATTTTTTTTAATGGTGCTTATAAAGAACATATAGAGTCCATCTGTTCTCTTGAAGCTTTCAGCATTGATTTGGGGTTTTATTTTTTTTGATAAAATGCAGTTTACACATTTATAAATGAGGCATTCTGTGTTTGTGGAAAAGGATAAACTGTTACCTTCCCTTGAGGATTCTGTATCCCAGGCCTCCTTGAGGCTAGAGAATAGGCCATTGGAGGACTCCCTCATTACCGATTGTCTCAATGCAGAGGAAGGGCAAAGTCTTGGTAGCTTTTGATAACCAGTTTCAGCATTCAGCAGGCTTAGCTATTAGTCATGCATCTTAGCCTTTCCCTATTTACTTTCAAAACACTTAATAAAAATAATAAAAGATTAGGTATAAAATGAAATATTTGTTTGGTACACGGCACCTCGGTATCTGCAGCTTCCACACACTGCAGTGGTTCAGTCTTCTGGGATATTTCTTGTTGATAGAACCATTTGAATTTGTTACCAGTATTAACATAGGAAGCTCTGGAAAAGATAATTGTAGTTTCCTTAGCTGTAAAGGGCTTACTTACAAATCTGGCTTTGGAAAGTTATAGCTGATGAAATGCAGTTCAGTGGGGTAGTATTATAATCCTACCTTTTAGCCTTCATCCAGCATTAGTGGTTTATCTCAATGGGCATAAAATTAGAAACTAGTTCTTCTTGTCATACAAGTCTGTGGGACTACAAACTGATGGGGTAGAATGGTGGGGGTTGGGGGTGGGAAGAGATAGAGGCAGTGTGGCTTTAAAATGATACATATCATTGGGAGAAGACAGGGGTTCACATTGTCTAATGAAGCGAAGTTATCAATAGTGAGCCTCCATTTAAATAAACCATGTCTCCCAAAGTTTTTGGTTACAAGCAGCAGAACTTGCAATTGAGCTATTTAGAGCTCTTTAAAATCTTTTTTCTTTCAAAAAGTTTTAAAATTGGTATTATCTTAAGTCATTGTAATTTCATGGAAAAGATCAGGACTGTCTTAACATGTTTGTTTTAATTTTAGAATGGCACAGAAGATCTCCGGACTGAGCGATTACAAAAAGGAACAGAACGCTTTAGAAATCCAATTGTGTTCAGCAAGGATTCTACAGTCAGAAAAACTCAACTTCAGTCTTTCAGTCAATATGTTGAGAATAGACCAGGTAGAAACACTTTTTTAAATGTTCTCCAATCTTATGATTTAACAGTATTTAACTATATATATATATATATATATATATTAAAAAGCTGATAATGTACACCCACGTTTCAATACACAAATATCAAGCCTTATAATAATTTTACATGTCTTTCCCCTTTTTTTAAGAGATGAAAAGGCAGAGATCAATGCAGGAAGATACAAAGAAAGGAAATGAGGAGAAGGCAGCGATAACTGAAACTCAGAGGAAGCCATCAGAAGATGAAGTGCTTAATGTATATTAATTTTTTGTGTGGTTTCATGATTGCTGATAATTCCAAACTGTATGTGGAAATAGTGCCTTTATTTGTTAAAATGAGATGTTAGGTTTTTTAAGATGTCAATCTCCAGTGCATTCAAAGCAGAGTGAGAGGGGTGCACTGTTGAATTAGTCTGCAGTGTGGTGATAATTGTCAGATAAAAAAAAATGAATTTTTCAGAGTTCCACAGCCCCAGCTTCCTTGAGACATTTCCATCAGGGCACTTCCCATAAAGAGATTCCAGTATTGATCTACCGGGAGGATTTTAATTATTACAATAGCAGATACCGCAGAGCTGCAGTTAGAGGGAAAAGTCACATGAGACCTGCTAGAATTTCTCAGCCAACCCATTTTGTTGGCTTGGGTTAATGGGTGTTCAACCTTTCCATTATCCAGATCAGCCGTGAATTACTAGCTGAATGATGTTTGCATTAATATAATATATATGGTAATTTCTTCACTTAATTAACAGGGAGGTTCAGCTCAGTAGGGGTATGGGCTGATCATGTGTAAAATTGATTTGTGAGGGAAATATTTGATAGACCGCAGGGAAAAAGCAGCTTTTGATGGACAGCTGTGGGACAGAAGCAGGAAGAACAAGTTTTAACTCGAATTTTTGTCTGGAAGCATAGCTCTATTTAATGATGCTACTTTATGATCTATAGCTTATCTAAATATTTTCATTGTTTTTACTGTTAAAACACCGTTTGTTGCATTTTAAAATCTTTGTAGCTCCATGCAGAGTTACCAACTACATTTTAGGACCCTATAAACTTCTCATTTTTAAGTAGCACTGAGACCTTCTAGGTGTAAGAGCATGGAACCACTCACTGATATATCCCATGAAATATTTGGTATAAATAATAAGTTATAAAATACTTGAGTATACTACATACTTACACTAAGGATCTAATTATAAACTTTGTTACTATTTTTAATGAGCCAGTCAGTAAAAACAGTGAAGTTTGTATTGCTTATCTTTTCAGCTTTCTTATGTATTTATTACTCATATTATCTTTGCAAACTACTTTGTTTCGTTCTTCTGAACTGGAATGAGAAAGGTCCTTTTTGGAAATGCACTCCTGTCTGGCAGATAAATACCAAAAAGGCATTCCCCAGATTATTCTAGATTTTAAAGTACCGTCAGCATTTGTTTTCTTAATAAGAGAAAATACCCATTTTGTATGAATATTTTTAAAATACTGTTTCTTACTAGAGCAAACTAACCGGAGAAATTATCAAGTTTTATGATTTCTTGAAATATTTCAACTTTTAGTTTATCAACTACCATAATCAATTTAACAATAAGTTGATATTAACTGAGCTTGCATGTGAGTATAAGTAATTTACTAGTTTCAGAGGTATGGAAGTTACATGTGTGGTTAGACGTGTTTTAATTGATCATGAGAATTCCAAAATGTGATCATATGTAGCAATTTTTTTATTTTGCTTCTTGTTTAAGGAGTATCAAAAGATAATTTCTCATGACTTCTTTATAGATTAGTATACTTCTAGGTGGGGAAGTAGTTTGACAGAAGAGGATCGTTCACATTTATTTATCTGCATAAATAATGTTATAAGCACTGATGGTAGTAGTGGTGGTGGTGAGAATAATCACTTAAGCAGTTCTTCAAAATTCCTCAGCTGCTTAGGAAACTTAGCCCTAGAAAGATAAATGGGTATTCCAAAGGGATCTATAATTAATCTATTTGTGACTATAACATAAATAATAACCTTGCCCCTAATGATTTAAATTTGTAATATGAAAATAAAATTTAAGGTCATGCTGACACTTTATTATAGAACTGCTACTTCAAATAAAACTTCTAAGGGTAATTTATTTTAACATGGATATTTATAAAAAGTAAAATTTCAAATTAAAATTCAAATTGGCTAAATAGAAGACTAATCAATGTATTAGTTGCATTATTATAGCAAGATTTGAAACCACCTGTCAAGTTAGAATTTGCTGCTGTAATAATTAGTAATACATCAACAGAATGACATGTTTAAGTACAGGAGCCAACTGGAACAAAACTAGAGATATTAGAAATTGCTATCATTTTTCAAAAACATTTTAAATCGTATAGCCCCTATGAAAACAAGAAATGTGTCTTTTTCATTTTATATTTTTGCAAGAAAAAATCTGATTTTTGTCAGAATGATACTTTAAGAATCAATTCCTTAGTAAAACTTCATTTTGTGTATTATACTTTTAAACTGAAGGTATGATTGGTGTTTGTTTTGACAGTCACAAAGGGAAAATTGTCTTTTGTCCTATCCATGCTTTAATAATTCTGACTTAATTCTTAGGGTAATTTTTTTCTAATTTAGTTTTCACTTTTTAATTGTATTTTTTTTAATTAGTCAGTTGTTTGCATACCTATACAGCTTTAGGTTTATATTTTTACTTCTCCATAGGTGCACTTGCTTCACTCATGTTAACATTTTAATCTGGCAAATCAGGGTGTCAAATTAATTATAAATATAATACTAAACTGCTGAAATTTTCCTGTTTACAAAAGTTTTGCTATGCTTTTGTATATACATACAACATACATATGAAAAATGTTTGAATCATAGGGAATTGCCGTTTGGTACTAAGGGTGATACTAAGTGTGTATTTCGTTCTCTAGGTAAGTGCTTTACTAAGTGTTTGTAGAAAAGAAAAATGCAACTTACAAGTGATTTTTTTTTCCTTTCCTGTTTGTTCTCGTTAACAGAAAGGGTTCAAAGACACCAGTCAGTATGTTGTAGGAGAATTGGCAGCACTAGAGAATGAGCAAAAGCAAATTGACACCCGTGCCGCGCTGGTGGAGAAGCGCCTTCGCTATCTCATGGACACAGGTACGGTGCCCAATTACACTGTAAACAGTTTTGGCAAATTGAGCGTTCACAAACTCTTATAGAGTTTTGGAAGTGTGAATCTTTGAAGCCTGAATGTTCAGCAAAACTGCCTTGAAAATAAAAAGGCTGCGATTTGCAGCCACCTCTCTGGGCCCTGGTGATAAGAGTGCCTTCATGGGAAGTGATAACTCGCCCTGATACCATGTGAGCCAGCACTATTGAACAGTGTGCTCATCCATGCAGAGTTGGAATACACATCTGTGCCTCATTGATATGCCACTGCTTAAAAAAAAAGTAAGATCTTCAGTGTTCTACTGATTCATTGGGAAAAAAAAGATTTGGCCAGCTAAAGCCATGTACTGCATGAAATAGAGCACTATGCATAGGGGATGGCTTCATGGACTAGATCACTGAAATTTGAGAATACTGTCTAGTTACTGATGCTCCTCAATTTTTTTTTTTTTTCAAGAGAACAGGTTTTTAAAAGTCTGTAATACTGTATGTTACAGTTGCATTTGAAAGGATTAAGGTATATAGGAAGGTTTATAAAAATGGGTTAGAGCAGCAAGTTAGCTTTAACCAGAGGGTAGATTGGCATTTAATGCAGATTGCCAATAGTGATTTGAATAGATCTAAGTTTACAAGAAGCTATTGGGAAAAAAACTGTGTTTGTGTGTAACACATTTATTTTAAATGCTCCTATAAAAGGGATTAAATGAAAAGTAAATTCAGGTCATTTATAACAAATTAAAAGTAAATTATATTTTTGAAAATACCAAACATGAAAACAGGAAATCTTTTTTTTTTAATTATGAGTGTTAAATTACAATAATAGAGTAGATTAATAAGTAAACTAGTACTAGTTAAATTAGGATTGGAAAACTTTCCTGAACTTTTCTTCAAATTCCTCCAAAAATAAGCATTTATCTGGGACATTTGAAAATGCCTTACTAGTGAAATCAGTTTTTTTAATATATGTATATGTACACACACACACACAGATACATATATATATATATAAATATATATATAAAATATATATATAAAAATATTAGAGCAGGAAGAGACCTTGGGCTTTATCTGACCTGATGGATTTCAAGCTGTGTTCCCATAGAGCCCTAGAGCGTCTTCAGAAGCACCTCAGGGGCTGTCAGGACAATAATGAAGCAGAAAGCAGTCATCTAGATTTCTTACTTTACTTCAGAGTAGCTGAGTTTATTTATTTGAAATAGCAGTTTTCTTGGAAGAGTTCATTTAAAGAAAAGGTTTTACTGCTTAAAATTTGAAATCAAAAAAACTAAAATATTTTTTTTTTGGCAAACTATTACCGACCCCTCTCATTATATAGAGGAGACAAAGGAACAAGAAAAGGCAAAAGATCACGCACATCAATAAGTGGTCAACCTTGGATAAGAATTCAGGTTACTGGAACCCTCTCATACAGGATCCTTCCTTCTATACCCAATTACCTATACCATGCATATCATTGTCCTTACAAGTTATATGTAAGCTCTGTCCTATAGATATACATTTGTGTATAGTCAACAGATATTCCATTAGCCAGTATACTGTCTCTCATTTGCCTGTTGCCTTTGTTTTCTAAGGGATTTTAGTTACTCTAATTTTAGTTATGTTAGTCATATAAGGAAAGGAAATATAGTAATCCCACTTATTCACAGGGATATGTTCTAAAGATCCCAAATGCGTGCCTGAAACCACAGATAGTATTGAACCCTGTATATACTATGTTTCTCCCTATACTTACATATCTTTGATAAAGTTTAAGCACAATAAGAGATTAACAGCAATAATAACAATATACTATAATAATAATTAATAATAGTTATGTGAATGTGTTCTCTCTCTCAAAATATCTTATTGTACCTACTATTTTCAGACTGTGGTTGACTACAGGTAACTAAAACCCAAAATATAAGGGGGACCACTGTATAAGATAGTATAATCTCTCTAATGCATGTTAAAATTACTCCCTTTAAATACTTTAATGAAACTCATTCTTTTTGTTGTTTTGTTTTTACAAATTCTTTCAAGAGGGCCAGCTTTCCTGATAGTGCACCATAAATTCTATGTTACTATACAAGAAGCCTTGTGTCTCTAGAAATTCTGTTTCCTTACTTCTTTCATACTTGGAATCTTATTTATGAAGGGTTTTAACTAAAACAGACTCAAGTTCTCCTTCCCAAATCCCACGTATTACCAAGAAAGCTTTATAATAGCTCCATTCCAACTATAAATCATTTATAATCTAAAACATTATAAGAGCTTGATTCTAGAATTCTTTTGGGGCTTTGTATTCCTTATTACATAGGACAGAATTTGATCTAGACTGAATCTGCAGATTTAGACTAAAATTGACCCAGTTCCCTGACTTGATAATTCCTGAATCACCATGGACTGTGTTGAACCTCCTCCAGGCCAAATAATAGTTTTCTAAGATTTGAGTAAAGACTAGTTAGAATCTGAAGGGGCCTCCCTGGTGGTTCAAGGGGTTAAGCTTCAGCACTATAAAGCAATCCACAGCAACTGCAGCACAAGTTCAATCCTCAGCCAGGTTGGTGACCCACATGAAGCAGCAGACCTCTCCTGTCTTGCCCGCTCCTCCTCTCAGCAGTGAATTTCAGTCAGTCCACCTGTTCTGCTCCCCATTCTGTCTCTGGTGAATCCTCTCTCTCTCTCTCTCTCTCTCTCTCTCTCTCTCTCCCTCTCTCTCTCTCTCTTTCTCTCTCTCTCAAACACACACACACACAAACCCTGCACCTCTGGCCTGCACCCCAGCTCTTGTATGCATACATAAACAAATCTTTAAAAACAAAAAAATCTTAAGTAAGAGATAAGATTTTAGGAGAGATTCACATGTTTCTTTTTTTTTTTTAACGATTTATTTATTTATACAAGAACTTGGGTACAGGCCAGAGGCGTGGGAGGTTGAGAGAATTCACTAGAGACAGAGCGGGGAACAAAACAGGCAGACGACCGAAAGCACTGCCGAGGGGAGCAGCGGATGAGACAGGAGAGGTCTGCCACACCATGTGGGTATCACCCTGGCCGGCCTGGAATCGAATCCACGCTACAGAGGTTGCAGACAGTCTCATTACACTGTGCTCTTACCCACTGCGCTACCATGTAGGCGCTCAAATGTTTCATTGTTTTAATTGGTCGGTACCATTTCTCTGGTGTGTTAGAGTTTTCTATAAATTTAATTGGTCGGTACCATTTCTCTGGTGTGTTTGAGTTTTCTATAAATTTTCTGAATCTCAGCCTTAGAATTAGCACGGCAGATAGTATACATATTCTTTACTTGACAAAACTAAGGCTCAGATAGAGGAATGACTCAGATAAGATGGCCTAATTAGTAATGACTGAGTTAGGAATGGAACCCAAATTTTTAGACTTTCTATATTTTGACTCATTTGACTCTTTTTCTACCATATTTTCTTGACAGAAAAAAATATACTCTCCCTTCTATTTCAGTATTTTATAAATGTAGATATTGACTGAATTTTTTATTGATCTGAAATTCATATATCATAAAACATACCATTTTAAAGTGTGCAGTTTAGTATTAGTACATTCACAGTGCTGTATAATCACCACACTATCTGTTTCTAGAGTTTTTCATTACCCTGAACAGAAACTATGTATTCAGTAATCTATTTTCTATGTGAACTTGTCCGCGGCATGAGCTTTATTATGGATAGTTCATATAAGTAGATTCAGACTGTATTTGTCCTTTTACACCTGACTTCCTCAGCTTCACATATTTTTAGAGTTCGTACATGTAGTAACATACCACTACTTCATTCCTTTTTATGATCGAATTATATTCTTTTATATGTATATATCATGCTTTGTTTATTAATTCATCCATTAATATATATAGGACAAATGCCCACTGATGGACATTTAGGTTGTTTCTACTGTCTGGCTACTGTGAACATTTGTGTACAAGCATTCCTTGGATTCTCTTTTCAGTTCTTTAAGGTATATGCCTGGGATTGGAATTGCTGGGTCATGTAGTAATTCTCTGTTCAACTCTTTGAAGAGCTGTACTCCATTTTATTTTATTTTTTTAGCATTTTATTTTATATAATTATTACATCATTTTTCATTTTTACACAATGTATGCGTTTTCATTTTGGTTATATTCCCCATACAATTGCATCTCCCCCCTTATTTTGACTCTAGTCCTTCCTTTCCCTGCCCCTCCCTCCCCTCCCCCCGTAGTGTGTCTCTGGTTTATAGTTGCTTGTTGATTTTGATTTTTACTTTGTATTTATTAGTCTTTTTCCTGGTCCCTTATTTAGGTTTTCTAAATTCCTGCTATGAGTGAGACCATCTGGTATTTTTCTTTTTCTTTGACTTATTTCACTGAGCATGATCCCTTCTAGCTCCATCCATATTGCTGCAAACTGCATGTGTTTATCTTTTTTGATTGCTGAGTAATATTCCATTGTATATATGTACCACATCTTCTTGATCCAGTCATCTATTTTTGGGCATTTGGGTTGTTTCCATAGCTTGGCTATTGTAAATAGTGCTGCTATAAGCATAGGGATGCCGGTGCCCTTTGGAATTAATGTTTCTATGTCATTTGGGTAAATACCTAGGAGTGGAATTGCTGGATCATATGGAAGCTCTATGTTTAGTAGGTCACGAAATCTCCACATAGCTCTCCATAGTGGTTGGACCAGTTTGCACTCCCACCAGCAGTGCAGGAGAGTTCCTTTTTCTCCACAACCTCACCAACATTTGTTGTTGCTAGTTTTTTTAATATGTGCCATTCTCACTGGTGTAAGATGGTATCTCATTGTAGTTTTTGATTTGCATTTCCCTGATGACAAGTGATGTTGAACATTTTTTCATATGCCTGTTGGCTATTTGCATTTCCTCTTCAAAGAAGTTTCTTTTTAACTCTGCTGCCCATTTTTTTATTGGGATTATTTTCTTTGTTTTTGTTGAGTCTCATCAGTTCTTTGTAG